TTTATGTATGTCTATAAAACATGCCAAGATAACAAAAGGAATTAATTATTCAAAACAAGTTAAAAAAAAAAACACACACAAAATAAATGATGAATAAAAGACAAAGTACAATAAAACAAAACATTCAAATCATTTTTATTTTTATTTAAAAAGGTGATTCATATTTCTCTACACGTCTACTTTTACCATTATATAATTTTCATGCTTATCCTACTAAATATTTCCATTACATTATATAAAATAATCTGTGACATATCTGTACCTTAACTAACCATTTTTATGAAAGTACAAAAGGACATTCATTTAGGAATGCACCAATGGAAAGTTACACTATGTATTGAAGTTCAGACTTTGAAATAAATCATATACTATTTCAAACAAAAAAATATAAAGGATTTTTTCCCATTAGGCAAAATGTAGAAATCTAAAAACAAATATAAAGCATATTTTTCTAATACATATAATATATCTTTTTTATGACTTTACTGTCTTCATGGGGACTGCACTTAAGTTTAACCCTAAGAATTTTCATGTTATATGTTCAAATATATAAAAAAGGAAACTACAAAGTCCAGGACCAACTTACATCAACATAAAATATATGCTTTTAACCATACAATAAGTTAAAATCAAAGGGTCAAAATCTTGCAAAAAAATAAATATATGTATCATGTCAAAGCATCATCACGGATAAACACCACCACCTTCCTGTGAGCTGATACTGACAGCGTATGGTTATCTCCCTTCCTGGAAATATGCTAGTCCCTTTAGCACAGACTAACAAGGGTACTCTGCAATTCTTAACCCACTTGACCTAGCCTACTTGACCTCATCCATTTACCTTATAGTTTGAATGTTCATTTCCATTGTTAACAATGTTGTAATTATCATAATGATGACTATGCTGTTGATGATGATGATGATAATAATTATGATATTAATAAGAGTAATAGTAATAATAATGATGATGATAAAAAGTAATAATAGCTACAATAATAAAAGTAATAACAATGATAAAAATCATGGTAATCAAAATAAAAAAATAAAAAGGTGTGATCAAGTATGGTTAGTAATTCCCTCCATGGTGTCTAAATGCTTGTGGACCCATCTATGTATAAACACAATTAATAAAACAAAACTACAATGGACAGTGGATATAACTAGTTTCAACAGGATAATCCTGCAAATCCAGTATCCCGTAGAAATGGAATGATAGGCATCATCCCTGCCATGTGGTTACCTTCAAATAACTTAACTTATAATGGTCCTCTTCACTGACAGTTTACACATCGATAATTCTCTTTAAATGATTAAGGCTATACATTGGCACAAATAATACATACATCCACCAAAAAAATTAATGTGACTTAAGATACTAACGCTTCTCCAATATCTTCAAGTTCTGTTAACTTATTCTTGACTAGTTTTTGGCATAAGATCTCTGAAGTGTGTTCTTCAAATTTCTTGTACCTGAGGAAAGAAAAAAAAATTAAGATTTTTTTGCAGCAGATAAAATGTAAATCTTCCCTTGTTCCAGTTAACTGTGGTGAATAGTAAATGATAAATTTACTAAAGTGTTGAGTAAAACTGTAAGTAAAATTCCCTTAAAATCACAGAAAATCAGTGATACTATTGTGCAAAAACATTAACTGCATATAGTTATCTTTACCTTACAGAAAAATACAACATGGTGTTTCTTATACTCACATGGAACAGAGGTTTTCATTGGCATCCAAAATCAGAACTGGTGCAGGAAGGGGGTGCTTCTTTTCGATCAGCCAATCTTCGTGCAATTTATGCAAATCTTCTAAATACTGCATCGGAATTGTCTGTTCCTCAGAACGAGCCCGCTTTCTGATGCGCTCATGAACTTTGTTTGGGTCTGTTCGCAGGTACACTGGAAAAAATGATACACGGTTTACTTGGAGGCATATAACTACACATAAATGAAGGAAGCACGAAGAAAGAATTAATTAATGGTTGGATGGAATACTCGCTAGAAAGCATGGGAAGACTAGAAATAAATGCAAAGCATCTTATTAACTAATTCATGTAGGAGGCTTATCGCAAGTACTGCTGACTTGTAGTAGTACTCCTCGCTTATTAACAAATTGAGGGGATGTGAAGCAGTGGATATACTGACTAAAAAAAAGAGACAGGATCAGTCGAGGAGCTATCTCTCTGCCTTCAAGAGACAGCCCGATAACTGATGCACAATATACAAAGAATGCACCTTCCTACCTACTCGAGACGAAAATAATCTTGTGCATGTAATGAGTTGAAATACTATGCAGAATGAGCTATATCATATGAAACCCTCTACTAGACACATAATAAGTTATATTTCCTATGGAAGCAACAGGTAGATTGGTTAATGTTGTTATGGACATTCATGGGTTTCCCCTTCTAAATAAACTTGATAAAGAGAGTCACATATTTATGGCAAAGTGTACTACCTATGTCACATCTTCCCAATTTGTAAGGGATGGCCAAAGCAAGGAAGGAAATCCATGAACATACACTTCATTTCTTAAACCTTTGGGAATTTCATGTGATGGAAAACATGCTAATATTTTATAATAGATTACTTACAAAATACTGATTATTCCATAACTTAAAGAAAAATTAAGGTTTAATATAGCAGACAATAATATTCTTAAAATACCTTGTAGGTATATCACTGACTTAATAATTATTTAACTATAGAGGATTTCAATAAAAATGGACTGGAGTTCTTTGTGACCTAACAGAATAAGAAAAAATCCATATGATTGAAAAGCTACAAGAATGAAATACATAAATGTTTAAAACCAATATCAAAGCCATGTATTTATATCAAATAGTAACATTACCTTAGAAAAAAGTTCTTCATTCTAAAATATTTCAAAATCAGTGGATTTTTAGGGAAAAAATAAATAAATATAATCATTTGGCAGAACTGCTGTATCTCACTTACCAATAAGATCTACATCAACATTGAGATTCTGCGTGATCATATTGTACCATTCACAGTACACATTATATTCAGGCTCAGTCATCTTACCACCTCTAAACAGATTTTCTACAAAACAGTATCTGAAATGAGACATAAATACAGCCCTATAACATTGCAGTGTAATTCAAAAGTGAAACTGTTATGGGATTATTTTTCAAATGCATATAAAGAATAGGAGAGAGTATATATAGTCAAGCTAGCACTTGGTCCAGATTGTGCTCCAACTCAGAGACTAGATCAAACACTTAATCAGACACTCTCACACACACATATTCGCTCTCTCTCTCTCTCTCTCTCTCTCTCTCTCTCTCTCTCTCTCTCTCTCTCTCTCTCTCTCTCTCTCTCTCTCTCTCTCTCTCTCTCTCTCTCTCTCTCTCTCTCACACACACACACACACACACACACACACACACACACACACACACACAACACACACACACACACACACACACACACACACACACACACACACACACACACACAGTAAATAAAAATATTAAAAAATATCATACCTGGCACTAAATAATGATCTCTCGATGAGCTTTACAGGTGATGAAGTGGGTTTGAGGTGAAGTTCCATCATGGTCATCTGAACATAGGTCTGGAACGTGTGGGCCCATCGGCATGGGTCTTTGTACATCAGGTCCTGAGGGTGAGATATACCATTTCAGTTATCAGAAGAGTCAAATACATACATTAACCCTACTATACCCATATGCCTATGTGGCAAAATGTTACAATATTGATGCAAACAGTATTACTACTTTCATGTATAAACCATTCACTTTTAAACATTTATCCCATAGTTTAAGAAAGTCTCAAAAGAAACAGTTGGTAGTTCAGTTCACATTCAGACAAATCTGCTATTAATGCTTTGACAAATATATTAGTCCTGGTGTATGTGAATGAGAGATTAACTAATGGGACCAGCATTAACAAAGCAAATTTGTGTTACTTTATAAGACAATGAATCTTAAGTATCTTGTACTGCAAAAGAAAAGAAAAGCACTTACCAGTAGATTATATCCCCTCACATTTCTCCACTTATCGACGGGCTCTTGCAAGACCTCCACGTCGTTAAACTTGGCGAAATGCTGCAGCAGCGTGGATTTCCCGCTGCCAATGTTCCCCTCGATGCTGACGGTGAACTTGGACTTGGGTCCCTTCTCGAACATGTCTAAGCAGATTTCCGCGAGGCCGATTTTCTCGAAGACTGTCTCGTAGTAGCTCTCCAGCTCCCCTGTCCAACACACAGACTGTAGTGAGCCATGTGGAGCTGCGCGCCAAAACTGCACGGGATAATCAAGTCAACCAATGGCGGTGAAGGGGGGGTCTTGATAAGCCTTTCCGCCAATGGGCGCGCCGCGACGGGAGGCGCGAGCGGCGGCGGGGAAGGCCGCGCTCGGTTTCCAATACGGGTTTAATAAAAGCAATATGCTCAGCTTGAAAAACTGCCAGCACGTAAAGTGTACACTGCACACAAAAACTCTACGTGATTACAATTATAACTGGCAAGAAGCGATATACTGCAAATAAATGCTCTTGAAATCCTACGAAAATTGTGAAAGTTGACGTAAATTTATAGGCAACACCAAAGCATTCAAAGGAAACCGGGCCATGAGCTTCACCCGTTAACTGCATCAGCATCCTAAGTGATATATAAAACTAATACAATTATATGTTTTTAGTACGCTTAAACTGATGTATCTACAATATAAATAGACGAATAGTGAGACAAATAGATAATTACATATATCTGGATGGTTTGTTCGCTGCATGGTCCATTGGACATTATCAATGAGATTGGTGCACTTTTTACAGTACAAGTGACCAGGCTCTTGCAAATAACAATTTTTTGTTCGGGTCTTTGAAAATTGGTAACGAAGAAGCACGATGTCTCAAAATATGAAGTACAATTTAGAATTCCTTTTCCCCCGAAACTTCCATTACCTCGTAATAGTTTTAATCAGTCAACCAAGGACTTTCCATAAAACGTGATGCTTCACCTTCCAATAAATGTCTATAATACCATTAAGCGATATACAATCAACAATAGCGTCAACATTCATGCAAATACTGAAACAATACTGCCAATATTAGTGAGCCAGCCACAATATGCAGTTCCGGGCTAGAGCTTTTAGGTTGCGCCATCTTATCAGATAACCGTTGGGATGCAGCCCCTCTCGTGTTCGTACTTGCGTACATAAAAAAAGCCCGCGCTTTTTTCTCGTCCATTCTTCTCATCTCTATCAACATCATAGTTCTCATTGTATTACTTATATTGACTGTCATCATCATTATTACCATTCTTGTCACCACCCATCATCATCAACATGGGCTATCTACTTGTGTAGACCTTCCTCGTTATTATCATCACAATTCATAGCAGTACTTTTATTACGAATGCAATTATAACCCTTATATCTTCTCATAATCATTACATTCAGAATTAACATCCCTGACATACAATTCTTAATGCTGTTCCATCTTCGCTCACCATTCCCACGGATCCTGTGATCTGACAAGACCCTCATTACTTCAAAGTACTTCTGAATTGTCGTTAATGAGGTAATTAACTCATGCACAGCACCTGCGGCGCTGGGCACAGGGCACGCGGGAACCTAACACTGCCTTTTTGTAAGAACCAACTATGTATGTTTTTTTTTTTTTTTTTTTTTTTATGTGTGTGTGTGTGTGTGTGTGTGTGTGTGTGTGTGTGTGTGTGTGTGTGTGTGTGTGTGTGTGTGTGTGTGTGTGTCCGTCTGTCTGTGCGTAGGCGTGTACATATACACTTACAGGTCCATGTGCGTGTACGTGTGTATGTGCGCATGTGTAAACGTATGAGTGCATGCCGGCAAAAAGGGAGTGAAGTACTGAACGCCGAAATCCATTCCATTATACATATTAACTCACACATACAAATAAACTGACACGAACCACCAAATGCATTGTGTACCAAGGATCTTTAGAAAATGCCAGTTTCTAATACTTGGGTATTTATAACAATGTGAATATACGGTATTTGTATATACGTGCCATATATACATATACATACAAACACACATGCACCCATACATATATATGTATCGACCTATCTAGTGTGTGTGTGTGATCATTGTAATAAGCAGTAAGTGTGTGACATATATATTCATATGCCAGATTTTTGGTCTGTCTTTGTGAATAGCCTGATATGCTGTAACATACTCGTTCGCGTACGGTACTCTGTCGTCGTAAATGAAGATGCCACGAAGATATTTTCGTCATCTCATGAGTGTATATTTCAAATGGTTGTATATACTTCTGTGCAAAGTCATGGATATTAACGCTTAATAATGGGAGCTATTGTGCTACCCTTGATGAGTCTGATCTGGCAACACATGCCCATCGCATAGATCAGTGGTTCTCAGCCTATGCGCCGCGACCATCCCGCAAGTGCGCCGCGAAAATTTAATGGATATTTAGTTGTCTTGAATCTGTGCCTTGCATCTCGCCGCCTTATTTTTACAAAAAAATTTTCCAGTGTCCCTCATAACGTCGAAAGGATATGCAAATCCAGACAGGCGCAAGTGTCCCATTAATTGTGTTTTAATCTATACAACTGGAATGCTATAAATTTCCATTATTAATTCATTCATATATATGGTAATAAAAACAACAATAATGATGTTGGTAATAAAAATTATAATATTACGTATTATTATTATTATTATCATTATTATTATTATTGCTGTATAGTTAGTGCGCCACTAACCAATAAAGGTTGAGAACCTCTGGCATAGATAGATAGACACAATGTAGTGTCTACAAAGAGTACCGCATTGAAAAAAAGGTAGTGATGCTTAATACACCACTCAATATATGGTCTGTCTATTATCTAGCCTTCTGTTCTTTAGCGATGATAACCATCTGCTGGCAATTTCGTGATCAAATAATACCACTAGGAGTTTCTGCTGACTGCCAAGAGGTTATTGTCATTGTTTAACAATTTAGACCTATGGGTAATTTCAGGAACATCAAAGTTCGATAGCATATTTACGATTTTTTTTTTTTAGCAAATTAGATAATACCAAGTGGCACTTTAAATGCCTTCATAAACCTTTCATTAATCGACATCCATTTCTGACCAAATCCACACCATAGCCCCTACATATTTTAACCAGTTTTGTAAATGAGGGCCAGCTGACAAACGATGGACACACAGGAAGAATATTAGACATGTGTGTTGCGGGCAGACAGGTGGAGGACCGAGGTATGGAAGGGTAAATCATCCTAAATACAACTTGTTATAGCAATCTGGGATGCTGATTCTTCAATAAACTGGCAGAAAAACACACTCTCTCTCACACACACACAAACAGACACACACACACACACACACACGCACACACACACACGCACACACACACACATACACACATATAAACACCCATACAAAAGCACACAATTACAAACATGCACTAACACAAAACACGCAGACATACAAAACACACAGAACAACACCAAAG